TTGCAAAACATTAGCCACGCGGAAGTTGGAACGGGTCGCCAAGTCAGCCTTTCGTTTTCGGGACCCGAAACCGATTTCCCGGAACAAAAGCTGGCGCAACGTTTGAATACTGATATTCGCGGAACATCGACGAGGGTCCGAGAGGATGATTGCGGCACCGGATCCGTGGGTGATTGTTGGTCTACTGTTGCTAAGGAGAAACTAAGGGAGGGGGGGGGGATCGTCGCGGTCCGTGGGCAGTAAAGTTTGCAAATATTTACGAGATTTCGGCGGAGGCCGGAAAACCGCGGGCTCGTCGATCGAAGAAATAATAATAACAACAACGATACGGCGGTCACGTAACATGATCGTACACGCAAACACAATATCGCACAACTCGTATTATATCATAATAATTACTATCGATATTATTATCATTAATATCGGTCACGTTAGCGAAACGAACCGAATGCGGCGAGAACGCAGCGCGCGTTAAACATAATGCATAGCAATAATTATTGTTGTAAAACGGTCGGCGGGACCCGCACCGATAGGTACGGCCACGGCTGTAATGATGTGACGGCAATAGGAAATCATAATTACGTCGAAAACATCGCGCCCGTTATAAATTTCGATCGGACAATAAACGCCGTAATAAAATACTAGTGCACCCACTGGAGTCGTGCGATTGCGAACGTTCGGTGTCATAAATAATTCGGTGAAACGTCACACGAACCCCACCAGACGATACGAATTAATGCGAACGGGTGCACCAGAAACGTTCGCGCGCCCGTCGTCCGTCCTATTACTGTGACGTAATGTTGCTAAAATGCGTATATTATATACAATGAATACCGTAGTCGCCGCCGCGGTACGTCGAACGCTTTATGTTACAATAATATTAACATTGCTGTAACACTATTATTCATTGTTATCACGGTCAACCCTATATTTAACATACCGTTCTGTTTGGCAGAATCATTTTGTGCGGCAAATTGTTTTGCGGGACCATGGACAAAAAAGGAACAGACCGTTTCTATTTAAACGGATTTAATTTCGTAAAATTGTCGTACGTTAAACGTTTCGTTATTAACATTTTTCTATTCCTTTATAGAGTACACACTTGAAAAAAAAACTTAGGTGAACATCCAAAGGAGTCTTGTACGGGCACAGATCACATAATCATATGATAACGTTTTTGTTTTGACGTTATTAATATTATCTATTGTTGCGCAATATTATTATTATCTTATATAAGATATCTTATATCTTATATATATATATATATATATAAATGACGTGTCCGACGTTTTGTTCGCTAAACACTCCGAAACTGCTTAACCGATTTTGATGAAATTTGGTACTGAGATTGGATCTTGGAGAAGGACTTTGGCTACCTTTTGTCGCAAATAAAGGAAAGGGATGTATTAGTAAACTTGATAAAGCCCGAACGGGCAGTTGTTGTTTTGTTGTTTCTAGAACAATCGAAAAACGAGAAGGAAGCCTACAGTCATACACCACAGTGTGCACCTAGAATTTTCGTGTCAACTTTACTGAAAATAATTTCCATGAGCGACTCTTTCTCCCTCTACAACGAAAATCAGTGGTATATTTATGGTGGGGTGGATGCTGGGGGTTTTCATCTCCTCCCAAAAAAATATTTTAAAACGTCAAATTTTAAACATATCAGTAATATAATAATTTTAGTTTGTTTATTCAATAAAATATAATGAAAAAAAATATACATATATATAAAAAAAAATATAAATATCGCTAATAATTAAATTGTAATCAGATTACAATACAATTTGTAATCAGAATAATAATAATAACAATCAACCGCGCGGCACTCACACACACACGGTATATAAATAATTTGATGTGGGGAAATTATCGGTCGATAAGAATATCAACACCTTAGTCCATGACTGTCACGTCTTGTCAGTTGTTAGTATGCACTATGCATCTATGCACAACATAAAGTAATATAAAATACGATTAATACGATCATACGTTTAATTTAGTTATTAAGTATTATTATTATTATTATTTAGTATTTAAACAATAAGTTGATAAAAAACATTTTACACTAATTTATAAAATTATTACACTACTAGGTATGACACCTCCCTCCCCAGAAATAATTTTCTAAATACGCCACTGACGACAATCAATGATTTTTTTTTTTTTTTGATATCTGCATAATAGATGAATTTGTAAGAAATGTTCTGTATGTTGAGGTACCGATGTATTGTACTTCGAACACAACAGGAAGAGAATAGAAGTGCCGAATTCAAGAAAATAGATGGCGGTGAAGCTATATTATTGACACTTTTATTATTACCTCGATAACAATAAGGTTTATTATGTATTGAATAAACTGTACTACCAAAAAAGTTTAAAAATGAATAAGTATTATTTGCTTGCTTCTCATTTTATGATTACTATTTTACTTTAATGCTGATAAAAATCCACAATCTCAGTTACAAAGATGTAAACGCAAACGTGTTAATAAGGACTTCAATAAGCCAATTAAATAGCTGTAAAAATCACAGCTCAAAGAATCAGGATAAGAGAGAATCGTGCACAAATATTTCAAAAACAGCACGATGAATTTATATATATATATATATATATATGTTAAGAACAAGGTTAGCACATGACCAGCACATAACCGAGCAGCATATCTTGAAAACGGTTAACGTGCGAATTTCACAGAAGCAAATGTTTCTCCGAAACCCACTCGAGCCACCATAACATGACAGTGATTAAATGTTTCACGTTGGGTAAAACACATGATGCTTTCGACCAATTTGCTCAAACATTTTTATGTGCCGATGTTCCGTATACATTTACTTGGTCAGTCACTGCGAATATTCTTGGATCAATCGCTTAAACTGAAAAGTTTAAAGTGGAAATCGTCCTATTATCACGTATTCCATTGATACCGTCAGAATTTTCAATACAATTCAAAAGGCTTCAATCTCCAATTCGTTTGGTTCTGCGATGACTATGAATAAGTTTCATGACTAGACAATATCCATTTGCGTTTTATAAATAATCTAGAACCGACGGGGCGTTGTATCCCAAATATATTTTCAAAAATTGAAGTGTAACCCTACGTATAATGGATGGTTCAACGTTGTGAGAATCGGGTGTTCGCAAAGGACCGTTTGCAAACGTTTTTAGTTTACCACGAATTGACAGTATAATTTATCGAGTGGACGTTATTATTTTTCGTAGAGACGGCACACGAAGAAATCAAAAACTCGTAGGACCCAGTTAAGCGTGTACAGTCCTCGTTGGCGAAATGACGTGAAGATTCAATGGAATCTTTGTATTGACAATAGTGAGTCTTCGGGCGGAAAAAGTGTCAAGCCCTAATATCTTACCAAATGCTTCAAGCTATGTCGTCAGGTATTCGATACGTATACGTGATATTTTGGATGAGCCCTAATTAAATATTTAGTTGTATTTAAAAATCTAAACGTGACTTGATAAAAAATAAATTATTTTGACTTTTTTTTCGAACAAGTTTTAAATATTACATGCACCGTTTTTATTAAACTTTTTGATCTAGGGATGATCACTTTATAGAGCGCAAACTTTCGATAAGATTATTTTTACTTTTACCAGGGTTGGAGGTTATAAAACAAGTATTTTTTAAACTTTTCATGGTAAGTTTATTTTCTTTATAATACAGAAGTCCATTTAACTTTATCAACATTTTGATACAGTGAACAAGATACGTAGATATTTTTTTTTAATGTATTTATGTATTTTCTGGCTTTCTCTTTATCTCAATAGTTTTAAAATATTTTCATGCTAACGTTAATGTAAAAATAAAATTATAAAAAACGTTCCACAAATATTCTGCGCGCAAACATGCAGAGATTGATGGTATTAACACATTTAATTAAAATTAAAATCAAGCGATCAAAATATATTTTATGTAGGTAATAGAAAACATAATCATTATTCTGATGACCATTTTAATATGCATTACTTAAACCAAAAACAAAATGGTATACGTTTAGGAAACCTGTAGGGTTTAAAGTAAGTGAAATATTTCATTAGAAGTTTTACGATTTACAAACAGTGAGTCTCTGTCTCGACTTTCAGTTCAACGTCGATGAACGTACAATTCCATAAGTTCGCTGCGATGGAAAATAATATTTTGAGTAAATTGACTAACATTGGTCAGAGTTGGGAAGGAAATATATTTCGCGACGACACGATTACAATCGTACAGTTTTGTCCTTATTTCAAACTTCACCTCCAACTGAGTCTTTAACACCACAATCTTACAATATGTGTTTATACACACGCATATCCGGTATGGGATGACGTGCATGCCGTTTAAATTTTAAACACTATGTTAACCGATTTTCGTAACCCGCCGAGCGGAATATCTTTAAAAAGTAAGTTTGTAAATTAAACCACCTCGAAGATAGACAACGTAGCATCGCACGCACACACGTATGATATATGTCGTCTTAAGGCGTAATTAAACGACGAACAGTGTTTATATAGCTGTGCTTTAGAGTTGTGCGTATAGTTATAACAGTGTTACTATTATTATTATTATTATTATTATTATTATCATGCTGTGCGGAAAGAAGAATAAAAGAAACGGGACGGATATTAGTAGAAAGTTTAATGGGGAGTGGTTTGCAGGAGAAGGATAAAACAAATTTACGATGCATGTATAATAATAATAAACACATAACCCGACCCGTTGCAGTTCACGTGCATCAGACCGGCTGTAATGCGACTGTAAACCATGTAAACGTAGCGGAGGTTTCAAGACAATTTAATTGAACTTAATTTACCGGGAGAGGTGAACGAATTTATAATTTTACCACTACTGGCCGTGGAATCGATTCGGATTTCTCGTACTCGGCCGTGTATGTCGCGGTCTCGTCGATGACCGTCGTACGGCCGAGCACGTCATTGATGCTACACGGCATCGTCACTCGCTCAGATATTTAATGTTATGTTACGGTCTCCAAACGACTTACTTTTGAATACATGAGGCTCAGCGGTAGACTCATCGCGATCGACAGCAGCCACACGAACACGATTTTCAGTATCACTCTCCGTCGCGTCTTGTTCCGGCCGAATTTCATCGGATACCTCAGGCTCAAGTACCGGTCCACGCTAATAGTGCACAGATGCATTATGCTAGCCGTGCAAAACAACACGTCCAGGCATATCCACGCTAAACAGTACACGGGGGCGAACGGGAACTCTCCTGGAAAATAGGGGAAAAAGTAAAAAAAAAATGTAACGCATGATGTGTATATTTTCGTTCACATTCTGTTAATGATATCAAGCGAACGATCGTATTTTGTTCGTTAAGATTACGTGGTGGTCTGGGGGTTATAATCACGGCGATCCGTTCGTATGCGTAAACGATGTTTTGGAACGAGAACGATCTGATCAACACAAGGTGAGAAAAAAAAATTACGCGAAAAGGAGGCACATATGGTTTTCGCGTTGGCGATTCGTATCATCCTCGAAAAGGAATATATTTAATAAATAATTATAATAATATTACGGTTATTTCGTAAGTTCACTCAACGACGTACGCTTAATTATGTTTATATATTTATATATGACGTATGTTTCGCGTGCTCTTTATAGTTTCGGTGAAAAACTAATCATTATACGATCAAAGAAATATATCGCAGTGATACCGCACGTCATATTACGTTACACGCACGTACCGCGATATGCGTATACGCATGATTAACATAGAGCGTTTGGAATAATTTGAATTTATTAATTTTAACTTTTATAATTACTCAAACCGTGTAAATAACACGGCACACTGTTACGACTTGGCACTTTACTACAGCCGAGGAACGGACACGATCATTCTGCGTTTGAAGCTTATTCGATTTGCATACGAGCGCGAATCGTAATCATTATTCGTGGTGTCATCAGGTACCTTTTAACGCACAAGCTTTACAAGGCGATTTTAACGATCTACGGACCCTTATGTTATTACAGATGGAAAACGTGCATATTGATAACGACCCTCTGAATTTTTCGCGCAATATATTTTTGCTATGCATCAATCAAAAACCTAACGAATATTTATGATTTCAGTAAAGTTGTCACAAAAAACGGTAGAAGCTATTGTTAATATATGTATGCATGCAATATTATTCTTACCACCGTTGTTTTTAAGCAAAAACGAATGTTCGCAAATCGTCTATAGTTCATATTTCGAGTTATTAAGCATAAACCGGGTAATACTATTGTTTTGATATAATATTTCATATACATTTTCATTTAAATTATTTGTGGCAAGGTAAAAAACAGTTAAATTGTATCGATACCAGTATAGTGCTTTTGTCAAGTGTATGTGTTTTTTATCAGTATACAAATATTAACTTTTATCATAATCACAGTCAGACATCGGTGCAAAATCAGAATTTTGTTTGATTTTTAAAATATTACGCACACGCATATACATTAAATGATATATTAGTTATTCATCATTGTTTGGTCTGTGAATATGGTTGTTACATTATTTAAATTAATGTAGTTTATGTTTTGCAATAAATAATTTTTGAAATTTTAAAAGTTAAACGCATTCTCAAATTAAATGCTCAATAATTATACCACTTGCAATATTTGACTTTTTAAATTGTTAGCAACATTTGGAGTGGGTAGAACTTTTGTTTAGAGTATGCAAAAGGAAATAATTTTTCCTTACACTAATCATATTATAATAATTGTTAACCTAATATTTTAGTTACGTTTTTCATACTCAATTACCAATGATCAGAAATAAAATATTTTTAATTAATCAAAACAATTTGCAAAGTGATTTTTTACTCATTAGGTTTATTTTGATAATAACTATTAAATTTTCTACAAATTTTAAGAATGGAAGAATGGTAAACTGGAAGCTATTGTACATTCTACGATGGTTAAGAAAACGCACAAAATACAGATTATTATGTAATCCAATGTACCAATCGGATTTAGAATTTATGAAGGTGTATGATCTATCGGATGTTTGTATTTGTTAAGCAGTGTAGAAAAGAAGGACTACACGACTGTTTATAAGTGGTAAATAAATTTTTTGCTCGTGCGCGTTATCGTTACTTACTAAAACAAATTTTATTTTTTTAGGTTATGTAACCGCTGTGCTGGAATTCTAGGACGTATTATATCTGGGTAGTAATAAAAACTGCTACTGCTTTACGACTACCAATAACATTTTAATTATACCCCGTGGATAATATTATAATCTAATAATTATGATTGTATTTATTTTTCAGCATGACCTCTACAAATTATGAACCATATCGCCTGGTGGAATAATAACGATACCATCGCCGTCGTAATATATAAATCATAAAACGTACCGAGCATACACGTCGAATAATTATATTTTTATTTGCAAGTATAAAAACGAAAATCTGACGTTATTCACGGAGGCCCTTGCGCAGGTGATTTATCTTCTACGTGTGTCGTAAAGGTTGTTATGTGCCGTTTTATATTATAAATTGTTAACACTAGACGTTTATCACATTATACTCAAAAGTGTTATGTATGTATAAATAATTATTTTACATTTTTAGACAGCATGCGTACGTGCTAAATTATATTAATTACGGTTTGATTTTGATACAATTGTTAAAAATCCAACACACTGTGTTCAGCCAAAAACGAAGGTTTAAATGTGACCACACAAATATTGTGTTTGTTTGGTGGCCATAAACTTAAAACACTATTCCAAAACCGTTAGGTAATTTAATTTTTAACCGTGATTTCAGTTTCAAAGACGGTTGTAAGTTATTATTGATTGTTTCAATAATACACTATTTTTATTTTGCGACCCAGCGCTTATCATGATAACTGTCTTGATAACTACGAGAAAAATAACGAGTGATCGTTTTCCACGATTTATACACGTGTTGAATGAAATATTTTGCGATTTGTTTTTTCGCTACATTAAAAAGTATAAAATAAAAACAATATATTGTAATTGATTCCACTGTTGAACATAGAATCAAATTGTTTATATTCATAAAATGTTTTGTTTATTTGTTGTATGATTTATTATCCCAACGGTACTTTGTATGAAAGGTCTTGTGTAAACTTAATAGTTACATAATGAACACGTCATGTTTGACGGGAGGAGGGGGAAGAAAATTAATTAAATTTAAACAAATTTTTTTAGTGGCGAACGTGTTTCATGGTTTTAACTTTTGATTGTCTCCGGTTCATTTGTTGCTATACAATTTAAATTAATAAATATTTATGAAAAAAAAAAATTAAATATTTAATCATTTTGACGATAAATGTATATTAATCGACATCGATTACGAATAAAACTTATTGTTAATTTTACAAAAAGGTACTTACAGTATTTTAATCCTCTCGCTGCGAAGCGCTTAATATATGCGATATAAATACATTCGTACGCGATTTTTATATACAATTCCGTATGATGAAAATGAAAATAAGCTTTTGATTTCCAGCCCGTTAATAAGTAATAAGTATTACTATTATTAATGTTATTTTAAATATCTGGATATTATCATTATATTATTATTTTAGTTATTCTATAACGATAGTTTTTGATATTAACCTTCGACGAATATTACTAAGGAGCTAAAATTCAAACGCAGTTTTCCGCATCGCATACACGAAAACGATTGTGTATTATACATAACATAATATAGTTATAATTTTTTTTCATCTGTCTTTAAGTGTAGTAAAACGTGTCTATTGAGTAATAATAAAAAAATATCCTCTGAAAAAAAATAACGAGTGCGTGGTTAAGTTGTAAACAAATTTTCAGCGAAGAATAACTTACACACACACATTTAAATATATATTTTTAAGTAAATTAAAAGTGTAGATCGCCACGTTCACTTCAATCGTATGACGACTATAGGCGCACATTGTATGTGAATTAAGGAGGTGCTGGAATAATTTAAAATACACAGGTCCATGGGGGGATTTGCCCCCCACACCCCCCTAATACTATAATTAACTGCGTTGCCATAATTTTTAATTTTTATTGATGAATATTTAAAAGTAATTATATTATAAGTTATAATAATATGTTATTATTAATTATATATTAAACAAGAATTAACTTCCTGTTTGATGATACAAATTTTTCCAATATAATTTTCCCATCTATTTTATTGGTAAGATCTCTCTCAATGCTAAACGCAGATAGCTTAATAGATCTTTCTTGGCCTATACCAGTGCGTAACCAATTTTTAAATCTACGCATAGTTGAAAAGGAGCGTTCACACGTTGAAGAAGAAATTGGAATTTTCACTACCACTTGAACTAGTTTATAAACATTTGGAAACGAACTTTTATTACATTGATTTTTCAAGTTTTCAAATTTAAAGTTGGCTAGTAGACTATTCTTTAAGACCAGCATTTCTGCAGATAAACTAACTGTCGATATATTCAAAATAACCTGATATATCAAAAATAAGAACTAGTATATAAAATGTAAATAGTAATGAATCATATTGTTTGTATGATTGGTAATAATATTTGTCATTCCTCATACAATTCTGCATAGTCCACTGGTTAAATATTATCAAAAACCAAGAAATAATCAAAGTTATAAATAGAACATAACTTCGTAGCCAACCATAAACCGTAGATAATATAAGAATATAAAGTAAGATAATATGATTTTTTCTATAATATTTTGATTGCTGTTTATAGTTAAATAGTTTGACAAAAATTGAAATAGTAAAACGTGCAATTATACAATACTGTTTTAATTGTGTATTTGTTAACTATATTATATATTATTGTCTATAGTGGAAAAAAAATGTCCAACCCAATAAAGCACAATAATTTACAATTTATTAATAAAATAATGAAATAAATATTCTAGGAAACTGAGGGTGCTAATTTTAAATAAAGAGGTGCTAAGCACTCCCGAGCACCCCCCTATGTGTGCCTATGATGACGACCCATTAAAAATTCTGTAAGGTGTTTGTAGGTCTTTGAACAAGAATACAGGGAATATGTATCGCATTATTATTAATAGACCACATGAACGAAAAATACATCAAACGTAAAAAAATTAAACCTGTAGACCTTGTAATATTAATAAAATTCGTCTCTGTTTCTTTTAACGATGGTATAAAACATTACATATTTTATGATTAATGAAATAATATTACAGGAAACTGTCGACATTTGACAACGGTTATAATACATGCATTATGACATGTGTAGTTTTATTTT